TCCTCCTCCTCCTCCTCCTCCTCCTCCTCCTCCTCCTCCTCCTCCTCCTCCTCCTCCTCCTCCTCCTCCTCCTCTGAGTCCTATCTAAAGGCAGCCCGCGGGGCAGGCCAACCTCACCTCATGTCTTGAGGATCCCGCACTGGCCGTCGAAGAACGCGTCCCAGTGCCAACATGGACTATGGAGCCGTCCACCGCCAGGAAGACGGGGACGGAGAGCAAGCCCCAGCCGCCGCCGAGCAATCGACCACGTCAAAGGAGCTCACCAAACCTCGTCGAGCGACTTGAGGTCGTCAGCATCGATCACCTCCCGCGCCTCGAAGGTCGGGTCCGCCTCTGCCAGCACCCCTCCCTGCCCGCTCGAAGAACGAGTCCGAGCTGGCCGCAGCCTCTGCTTGGCTGAGGGCCCGAGAGCGGGCGGCTGCCGCCACGCGCGCGGCGAACTCCCGCAGCTCCGCGATGCCCTCCGCCTGCATCCTCGGCTTCTCCTCCGCCTTCCCGTCGAACATGGACGGCTCCGCGGGCTGCTCGGCCAGCAGCAGCGACTCCCCAACCGGTGCCACCACGGCCTGCACGCCCTCCTTGTTGCCCTTCTTCTTACGCTTGCCCTTGCCCTTGACGTCGGAAAAGGAGGCGTCGCCCAGAACGGCTTCTCCAGCACCAGCTGCTCCACCGCCAGGCAAAGCTCCGTTCGTTGAGATCGCCGCGTCGAGCTCGTCCTCGGGGCCGAAGGTCATGTCCACCCAACGCCCACGGTCTCCGTGTGAACCGATCGACCTTGACCCCCCGCGCGTGCTCGAGCGGCGGCACTCGGTCAGCGTCGCTCTCGACGGAGCCGACGCCTTGCTGCTGCCCCTCGCCCTCGACCTGGTCCACCGTCTGCGTGCCCACCTCCACGGACAGCTCCCCGATGAACCAGTCCTGCGTGCAAGCCTCCGCGCTGTTGTCGACCGTGCCCCCGACCAGCGCGCCCTGCTTCCTCAGCTCCTCCTGCTTCTCGGGGTCGTACTGGAACTTCCCCTTGCAGAAGCGAGTGTTCTCCAGGCCCAGCACGTCTCCAACGCTCATGTCCGAGACCAGTACCCCCACCTTCTCAGCCTTGCTGTGTACTCGCTGGCCTTTTCCGTCGGCTCCCCCATCTGCTTCGCCTCTGGCTTAAGCAAGGACCTCTCCTTCAGCTCGTCCGTGGTCTTGCAGTTTGGGGCGCCCTCGATGTCCTTCATCCCCCCCTTCTCGCTGAGCACGTTCGGCATCTCCGACGCGACCTCGGAGAAGGAGTCCCCGCTGCTGCCCTCCAGCTCCTGCGTGCCAGCGGGCGGCGGGTCCCTCTCCAGGCCGCCACGGCCTCTCTTGCGCTGCCCGCGGACGCGCCTCTTGGCCTCCACCGCCGTCGCAGGCGCCGCCGCCGCCCCGCCCCCGAAGCCCGCGTGGAGCGCCCAGTGGCGGAATGCGCGGCAGGCCCCAGAGGGCTGGGCCCGCACCCCATCGCGCCCTGCGGCGACGTGGAGCCGCAGGTGCGGCCGTGCGAGCTCCTCGCGCACTGCCACCTCCTTGTCGATCTCGCCGTCGTCGCTATCGCCTTCAGCCAGCACCTCCGCGCACGTGCGAATGGCCGCCGCCACCGCGGCCGCCACCACCTGGCGGGTGCCACCTCCAGCCGCTGCCCCATGCGCCGCGGCCTGCACGAGCGGCGCCATCGCCGCCAGCACCCTGCGCTCGCCCCCCCGCGGGGGCGGGACCGTAGCCACCGCCTGGGCCATGGCCGCGGCAAGAGGATAACGCTTCCTCCTGAGCAGGCGAGAAGCGCAGGACCCAACGCTGCCGCCCGCCTGGCGCCCAAGGCAGGCTAGAGCCAAAATGGCTACGGACCTCCTCCTCCTCCTCCTCCTCCTCCTCCTCCTCCTCCTCCTCCTCCTCCTCGTCCCCCTCCTCCTCCTCCTCCTCGCCTCCTCCACTGGAAGCAGCAAGCAGGCTCCTCCGCCCATCCGCGGGCCACCCGCGCGTACACCCCCATCCACCCTGCCAGGCCGGCCGGGGGCCAGGGCAGGAGGCGGGCGGCCAGGCCCTCCGGGTGGGGCCCGGGCGCAGCCTCCAACACCCCCCCCATCGGGGATCGACAACGAGGATCGAGAATCGAGAAGCATCGATGACCGACAGAGAGGATCGAGGATCAACAACGGCGATCGAGGATCGAGGGGATCGACACCCTCCCCTATCGGGGATCGACAACGAGGATCGAGGATCGAGGAGGATCGGGGATCGGGGATCGAGGAGGAAACACCCCTCTTTCTATGGAAGCTCATGGAAGCCTCCCATGCCATCGTGCTGGCTCTTGTGAACCAACGCTAACCGACGCTAATCGAAAATACATCGACGCTTGCCCACGCTAAGTCGGAGATGAGTCGGCGCTAAATCGGCGCTCTCTCATTGCTTACCAAACGCCCGCTCACGCGAATGCCGTCGAAAAACGGAACTCCGAGGACACACAAGGCTCCCATGAGCTGCTACCGAACCCCCCCACGCCCCCCCCCCCCCCCTTGAATTGGCGCTGGCGTGCAGTCTGCTTCCCCGATGTGCCGCAGACCTTCCCTTTTGCCTGACACGCGCTCAGGTGGATCAGGGATCCGTGGATCTGGCGCGTGGGCGCCGGATCCACCGATCGGGAAGGCAACCCCGAGACATGATGCAAAAGCCGCATGATTTGGCGACGCGACGCGCCGACACGGCATCCGCACTTAGTCCACTCGCCCTAACCCCTGGTTGCACATCCTCGATGTTGACCGACTGGACTGAGAGCCCTGAATCCCTGGGCTACCCAAAGCGATTCCCCCCAGGTACGTGGAGTGTCTGGGGGCTGGAACCGCTCCACGATCAGAGCCTCATCCACGTGATCTGCCTCACACTGTGCCGTGTAGCCAACTGTTGTTTGAAAAGCTGGCTCCTCCAGCCACTGATGTCGATGTGAAATCTTGTGACCAGCAGCTTGAACAGCAAGATCTCCACAAAACTGAGGATGCTGGACGTGTCGCGGAGCAACTCGCAGCCGTTATTGATGCAGTCTGCCAACGCAACCATCGGCACGTGTAATGAGCAAAGAAGGATGTGGAGGCGAAACAGAATGCCGCCGGCGTGCAGATACCCGCTATTGGTTGTGTGTTCCCATGTGTATTGGAAAACCGTGGTTCTACGATGATCGCTCAACAATGGCTGATTCACAGCGAACAACAAGAGCGCACACTTGGCAACGAGAAGCCGAGAAGATAATCCGAAGTATGCAAACATGAGCGTAGAGAAGATGTCGCCAGGCATCTCGCAGTGCGCAACATGTATGTTGCCCTGCCTCCCGCCCCCTTGACCCTCAGTCCTCCACTACAGGCAGCAAGGCGGTCATCAGGATGGCGACCTGGAGGCCCATCCCCGACCGGGCCCAGGCAGGCGAGAGAGAGAGAGAGACGGGCGGAAGGAAGACAGAGGGAAGGGTTGCGCGGCAGCGAGAAGGGGCCCTTACCTTTACCTTTACCCGCTATTCGTGGCGACCTGCTGCAGGGCGGGGCACGAAAACACACTCAGAGGTCAGGGAAAGCACCACACGACTTAGGTGATAGACCTCGTTCCAACCTGCTCAGCACTCCCTTCACAGCTTTCGTGTGGAGGTGGAGGGGGCGCACTAGAGACGCAAGTTCTGCGGAAACTCGAAGGGGAGGGAGAGGGGCAGGGAGAGGCGAGGAGGGAGGGGGAGCAGGCGTGGAGATTTGGGGGGGGGGGCGAGGGAAGGGGGAGAGCGGAGCGGGGAGAGGGACGCAGAACGCGAGAGGGCGGGCCGGGCCGCGGGGCCGCCAGGAGTAGAGCCAGTACGACTAGCGCCCCCCTCCCGGGCGCTCCCTGCGAGCGCCTCCTTCTCCTCACTGGCAACACAAGCCTCCTCCTCCTCACACAGCTCCCCCCTGCCACACCAATAGAGATGTCGCGCTGGAACGGGCTGGGGGTGTCGAACGAGGAGTGCGCGCAAATTACGAGGTCGAAGATCGAGCCATCCAACCGTTACACGCTAGAGAGCGGGTCGTTTTCGAAATGTGGCCCTCGCCTTGTCGCCATGCAAACTCGACTTAAGCATTACCAACAGCTATACGGACTGGGGGTGGGTGGCTTAGAAACTCGAGCTCTCGACTTGGCGCCGAGCACTCTCATCTCAAACATTTCCAGCAGCTACCTGGACGGAGGCCGATTGGCTTCCAACAGGTAAACAGGTTCTGCGTAAGTGGGTGGTCAACTTTTTTTTATTCGGCGTTTCGACATTGGGCGGAAGGGAGGGGAGGGGGGGGGTCTGGCTCTGGAACTATTGTTAGCGACTGTCTGCAGCAGTGCGTCCATCATGGGGAGGCCCCACCTGCTCGAAACAGGCGCCAAAAACAGCCAAGATCCACTCCAGGGGGGGGAGGCGGGCGGTGCGAGAGGCCGCGCCGATCGGCAAAAGAATTGATTAAGAAAGCAACGCTCACGTGGGTCCACCGAGGTTTCGCCACGTTCCCGCCCGTGGGCGCCTCGTAGGCGCCCGCGCGCGCCCCGTGCCCCGGGTGCGTCCGCCGAGGTTTCGCCACGCTCCCGCCCGTGGGAGCCTCGCGGACGCCCCGTGGGCGCCGTGCGCCCCGGGGCAGGTCCGCCGAGGTGTCGCCGCGCTCCCGCCCGCGGGCGCCTCGTGCGCGCTCGCCCGCGGACGCCCCGCGGGCCATCGTGGGCGCCCCGTGCGCCGGGTGGGCCCCCCGAGGCTTCGCCGCGCTCCCGCCCGTTGGCGTCCCGTGGGCGCTCGTGGGCGCCGTGCGCCCCGGGTGGGTCCACCAGCGTTTCGCCACGTTCGCGCCCGTGGGCGCTCCTGGGCGCTCGTGGGCGCCCTGTGCCATGCGTGGGCAACGAGCCTTGAGCGGCATAGCTCACGCCGCATGGCTCACAACGCGTAGCTCATACCACATGGCTCGCATCACATCGCGTACACTGCTGAGCTTCAACAACATAGCACTCTCTCACACACACACACACACACACACACACACCACAAAGGCAACACCGCATGGCTCACACAATAGAAACCACGGCACATAGCTTACACCTTACACGACAAACTTGCTCCACATGGCGTTCACCACATGTCTTGCACAACATTGCGTGCAGAGCATAGCTGTCACAGCATAGCTTTCGCCAAACAGCGCCCACCCACGGTACTCAGCATAGCTTAAAGAGCATAGCTCACAGCACATTGCTCACACATCGTAGCTTACGGCGCACAGCCTGCAACGCATAGCTTACACAACATAGCTTCCACCACATAGCTTGCCAACATTGCTTTCAGCTACACGCGGTGCGATAATTAACCTCGCGAGGCCCACGCTGGCCAACCTGTCTCGACATAAACTTTGAGATACATACGAAAATATACATATCTATATATATATATATATATATATATCGAAGGTTGGGGGGTGAGATCGAAGTGGAACGGAGAGCCCCCCTACCGGGAAATCGATTTCGGTTTCGTGTTCGTGCGTGCCGTGCGGGCGAGGCGAAGCGGCGTGGGCGGGCGAGAGAAAGTCTCCTGTGGCTGAGGCGCGGCCGGACCAAATGACTCCCTTCCGGGCGGCCGGGGCCCCGCGGTGTCTCGCCGGTGTCCCGCTGGTGTCCCGTGTGGCTGAGGCGCGGCCGGACCAAATTATTCCCTTCCGGGCGGCCGGGGCCCCGCGGTGTCCCGCCAGTGTCCCGCTGGTGTCCCGTGTGGCTGAGGCGCGGCCGGACGAAATGATTCCCTTCCGGGCGGCCGGGGCGGCGCGGTGTCCCGCCGGTGTCCCGCCGGTGTCCCGTCCGTGTGCCGTCGGTGTCCCGATGATGATGTTGAAGATGATTATGATGATGATTCTGATGATGATGGTGATGATGATGGTGATAATGATGATGATGTTGATGATGGCGATGATGATGATGATGATGATGATGATGATGATGATGATGATGTTGATGTTGATGATGATGATGATGATGATGATGATGACGTCGATTGCGAGATCGATTGTGATATCGGTAGTGAGACCGAATGTGAGATCGATTGTGCGATGCTGATGGTGATGATGGCCTCCATGGTGTTGATGTTTGTGATTATGATGACGACATTGATGATGATGATGATGATGATGATGCTGATGATGATGATGATGTTGATGGTGATGTCGATGATGATGATGACGACGTGGATAGTGATATCGATTGTGAGACAGCGATCGGTAGTGAGACCGAATGAGACAGCGATCGGTAGTGAGACCGAATGAGACACCGAATGACATTCACCACTGTTGCCCATTGCTGGGCCCCTCCCCCCCCCAACCTCCTTATCACCCGCAGGGTGGTCGTATAGGTATATATGTATGTAAAGCCAGGCCGTGCCAACAAGAAACCAAGCGATAGAAGGCTATGCCGTGCCGACATGGAGCTCCCGCGCGAGCATGGACTTGTGCAACGCACACGCGGATGCAGAGCGGCCCGGCGCGCACAGCGGCCCCGTGCGAAGCGCAGGCGCGAGCGGCGGGGACAGTGAGCGAGGGGGGAAAGTGAAGAGGAGAAGGCCTCCTCAGAAGGTGGCGGGGCTTCTCAAAGGCGGCGGGGCTTCTCGGGGAGCGCTCTGGCCTTCGGAGAGATTGTCTGCGTCTTCGGGAGAGGCTCGGAAAACTTCTCAGGAGGCCTCGGGACTTCCGAGCCCTCCGAGAAGGCCCGCCCCTTCTCACGTCCCACTTCCCCCACCTGGCTCGCCGCCGAGTTCAGCAAACGCCCAGGGCATCTCAGCAAACGCCGTTCCTGGAGTCCGGGGTGCTGCATCCTCCCTCGCAAGAACAGCTCCCCCCATTGCCGCATTCCTGACAGCTCCGGGGTTCGCGTGCACGTGGCCGCGCCGAGCCGTCGGCCGCCCGGTTCAGGGCTCGGTGGCAAGGGGGGGGCGGGCGCGGGCCCCTGCCTCGAACAGAAATAAGAGAAAGACTGCATAAACATAAACGTTGGGCGCTCCGCGCGGATTTCTCGGATCTGCGCTGGACCCCCCCTCCCTGGCGCGCAGAGCGCTCCGGCGCCGCTAGGGGGGCCCCAGCGCGGATCCAAGAAATCCGCGCGGAGCGCCGAAAGTTTATGCTTATGCCGTTGCTTCTTCTTCGATCGAAGTCGCCGTCGGGCGGAGCTCCCGCCCTCGAGTTCCTTCGGGCCCACGGGGCGCTCGTCTCTGGGAAAAGGGGGCGCGTCGCGCAGGAAGGAAGAACACGCCTGCAGGGACTCATGAGGAGGGGGCTCGGGACGGGAGGGTATACTGCAGCGTCACTGGTACGTCTTGGGCTGGTACTCTGGTCCTCCTTCTCCTCCTCCTCCTCCTCTTCGTACTCCTTACCCTCCTGCTCCTCCTCCTCCTCCTCCTCCTCCTCCTCTTCCTCCTCCTCCTTCTCCTCCTCCTCCTCCTGTACAGACCTACAGATGCGGGCAGTCTCCGTCGAATGACCGAAGCCCTGCGTACACCCTCCGTCGCCTTCTCCTTTCCATTCGAGCTCAGATGCGAACCTCTTACTCATACCACTCCAACATCCGAAACAAGCTCAGACGCGGATCACTCCGATCCCCACTCCTGCCCATTCCGTTCTCCCTGCAACTCCCCCCCGCCTCCTCCCCGAATCGCTCCAATCCACACCCATGCGCTTGCTGACATGGCGTGGCCAATGCACTCCGAAAGACGATCACTTCTGATCCAATTATGGAACTGTCACCTGCCCTCCTCCTCTTCCTCCAGCTCCTCCTCCTCCTCCTCTCCTCCTCCTCTCCTCCTCTCCTCCCCCTCTCCTCCTCCTCCTCCTCCTCCTCCTCCTCCTCTCCTCCTCATCATCATCATCATCATCATCATCATCATCATCATCATCATCACCATCGTCATCATCATCATCATCAGCATCATCAGCATCATCATCATCATCATCATCATCATCATCATCATCATCATCATCATCATCATCTCATCATCATATCATCATCATCATCATCATCATCACCATCATCATCATCATCATCATCATCATCATCATCATCATCATCATCATAATCAGCATCATCATCATCATCGGCCTCATCAGCAGCAGCAGCATCATCATCAGCATCCGCATCATCATCATCATCATCATCATCATCATCATCATCATCAGCAGCAGCAGCAGCAGCATTACCATCATCACCATCATCAGCAGCATCATCATTATCGTCATCAGCAGCAGCATCATCGCCATCAGCATCATCAGCATCGTCAGCATCATCATCATCATCAGCATCAGCATCATCAACAACAGCAGCAGCATTATCAGCATAATCAGCATCAGCATGATGATCCTCATCCTCATCCTCATCCTCATCATCATCATCAGCATCAACATCAGCATCAACATCCCCATCATCAGCATCGTCATCAGCATCATTAGCAGAATCAGCATCATTAGCAGCATCAGCATCATCATAATCAGCATCACCACCATCATCATCACCATCAGCCGCAGCATCGTGAGCAATCTAACCAGCAGCAGCATCATCATCAGCAGCAGTATCATCATCAGCAGCAGCAAAATCATCAGCATAATCAGCAGCAGCATCATCATAATCATAAGCATCATCACCATCATCATCAGCAGCATCAGCATCAGCAGCATCATGGCCAGAATCAGCACCAGCATCATCATCATCGCCAGCAGCATCATCATCATCATCATCAGCATAAGCATCAACACCATATCATTATCATAGTCAGCAACATCATCGGCAGCATCAACATCATCATCATGCTAATCATCATCACCGCCATCATCATCAACATTAACAGCATCATCATCATTATCAGCATCAGCATCATCATCGCCATCAGCGTCGCCATCATCATCGCCATTGCCATCATCATCGTTATCGAATCATCATCAGCAGCAGCACCATCATTATAATCATCATCTCCAGCAGCAGCATCATCATCACCATCATCATCAGCAGCAGTAACATCGTCATCATCAGCAGCATCGTCATCATCAGCATCATCGTCATCATCAGCAGTATCAGCATCATCACCGTCAGCGTCATCATTCGCATCCTCATCCTCATGCTCATGCTCATCCTCATCATCATCAGCATCAGCACCATCAGCATCAGCATGAGCATCAACGTCAGCATCAGCAGCATCACCATCATCATCACCATCATCAGCATCAGCATCATCAGAGTGAGGGGGCCGAACGGCCATTCATTGTCCCTGGGTGCGTGGCTGAAGTGCGGATCCGTGGTGAGGATTCTGCTTGTTGAACTCTCACCTCTGAAGAGTAATTATTGATGATCCCCCCCACCGGTGCATACTGTTTTTTCCCCTCCACGTGTGCCCCTCGACGCTCTTATTCAGGAATCGCGCTCTTGCTTGGGTTTTTTCGTACAACTTAAACAAGAGTCGCTCCCCCGGCGCTCTGGAGTTCGCGCTCTCGCTGGAGATTTGCTTGCAACTTACTGAAGAATAACGCCTTTGGGTTGGAATTTCCTGCAATTTACTCAAGCGCCGCGCTCCCGACACCCAGGCACCCAGGAGTCGCGCTCACGCTTAGGACTCCCTCACAGATTACCTAGGAATCGGGATTTCGCTGCCCTTCGTGGCCCCGTTGCAGCCCTTCGTGGCCCCCTCGTTTTGTTTCGTGACCCCGTTGCAGCCCTTCGTGGTCCCCTCGCTGCCCTTCGTGGCCCCGTTGCAGCCCCTCGTGGCCTCCTCGCTGCCCTTCGTGGCCCGGTTGCATCCCTTCGTGGCCCCCTCGCTGCCCTTCGTGGCCCCGTTGCAGCCCTTCGTGGCCCCCTCGCTGCCCTTCGTGGCAGCGTCGCAGCCCTGCGCGGCCCCGTTGTAGCCCTTCGCGGACCGTTCGCTGCCTTTCGTGGCCCCGTTGCAGCCCTTCGTGGCCCCCTCGCTGCCTTTCGTGGCCCAATAGATGTATGCCCTTCGTGGCCCCCGCTCGCTCGCGCCCGCGGTGGCCCCAGATGCATCCCCTCCGTGGCCCCGCAGTCGCCCTTCGTGGCCCCCTCGCTGCCCTTCGTGGCCCCGTTGCTGCCCTCAGTGGTCCCGTCCTTGCCCTCCGCGGCCCACTATACGTATGCCCTTCGCGGCCCCCGCTCGTTCGCCCCCGTTGTGGCCCCATGTGCATACCCTTCGTGGCCCCGCTGTCGCCGTTTGTGGCCCCCTCACTGTCCTACATGGCCCAGTTGCTACCCTCCGTGGCCCCATCATTGCCTCCTGTGGCCCCGCATTATCTGCCCTTCGTGGCCACCGTTTGTTCGCGCTCTTCGTGGCCTCATACGCATTCCCTTCGTGTCCTCGCTGTCGCCCTTCGTGGCCTACTTCGTGTCCTTGTGGCCCTGCTGTCGGTCTCTCTCACTCTCGCTTTCGCTCGTCGTCATCGTCGCCGTCGTCGTCGTCGCCGTCGTCGTCGACGTCGTCGTCGTCGTCGTGGTCGGTCCCCTGTCCGTCCCTCTTGGGGTCGGGTCCCCGGTCCGCGGCCGCCCCGCCGATCAGCGCTGCCGCTGGCCAGGCCGACGGTCCGCGGCCGCCCCGCCGCTTGCCTTGGGCCCGGCCTGCAGGAAGAAGGGTATACCCCCCAAAAGGGGTTCGATCGAAGACGAAGAGGGCGGGTATCGAGGGTTTGGGAAATACGCGTTATTGGACACTCGAGCAGATAAGGGCGAACAGTCTTAAAATGATTATTGTTGTTGTTGTCGTCGCTCCCCCCGCGACCCGGCCCGCGACCCACCCGCGACTCACCTCGCGACCCACCCGCGACCCACCCCACGACCCAAACGCGACCCACCCGCGATCCACCCCGCGACCCGCTCGCGGCCCACCCGCGACCCACCCGCTACCCACCCGCGACCCACCCGCGACCCACCCGCGACCCACCCGCGACCCGGCCCGCGACCCACTCGCGACCCACCGTCGACCCACCCGCGATCCAGTTGCGACCCAACCAGCGACCCCCTACATCATTTTAACAAAAAATCGGCGCCTGCGGCGGGCTCGGTGCATAGCTTGAAACATGTTGCGCCTTTTTCAAAGCCTCGCAGACTGCCGACGTCCCCGCCGCCCCCTCACTCTTATCCACAACTGCGGGGTCCTACGATCCTCATCAAAATCAGCATCACCACCATCATCATCATCACCATCATCATCATCATCATCATCATCATCATCATCATCATCATCATCATCATCATCAGCATCAGCATCAGCATCAGCATCAGCATCAGCATCAGCACCATCATCATCATCATCATCAGCAGCATCATCATCATCGTCAGCACCAGCATCATCATCATCAGCATCATCGCCATCATCATCATAATAAGCATCAGCATCAGATTCATCAGCATCATCAGCATCATCAGCATCATCATCGGCATCATCGCCATAATCAGCATGATCGTCAACACCATCATCATCAGCAGCCTCATCATCATTACCATAAGTATCATCATCACCAGCATCACCATCAGCATCAGCATCATCATCAGCATCATCATCACCACCGCCACCATCACCACCACCACCATCATCATCATCATCATCATCATCCATCATCATCAGCGCCATTATCATCATCAGCAGCGGCAGCATCATCATCGTCAGCATCATCCGCCTCCTCATGGCCCTTCATCTCTTTCCTCCCTCCCTCCTACCTGCTTAATCCTCCTTCCCCTCCTCCCTTGTCTTCCTCCACTTCCTCGTGCTCCTCCTCCCAATGCTGCCGCTCTCCACTTCCGTCTACCCGTTACCCTCCTCAAAAGAGGAGGGTAACGAGCAGGCGAAAGTGGAAGATGAAGAGAACAATGGGGAGGACATCCTCTTCTCCTCTTCATGCTCCATTGTCCCTCCTCCATCCTCTCTCCGATCTCCCCCTCATCTCCACCCTCCTCCGATTCGAGGGCCTCTCGTTCGTCTCCCTGAGGCGACCGGACGAGTGGCGGAGAGGCCACCCCAGCGCTTGCCAGGGTCCTGCTCCTCCATTGCCCTGTCTTCGCCTCGGCTGCCGCAGGAAGTGCTTTTCTGCGAGCCAACGCAGTGATGACAAAATGGTCAGCTTCCCCACTGAGGGAAAGGGGACTCCACCATGCGATGCACAAGCCATGGAGAAGAAGAAAAAGACGGCGAAACGGGGAACCCAGACGGAGGGAGAAAATGAGGGAGGCGGAAGAATGGATTCGCATGTCCAGAAATCGCGCCTGTGGCGGATTGCCCAGATCCGCCAGAGATGCGTTTGAGTAAGGCAGAAGCAACAAGAATCCGCAGGGTGGCCTCTTTCCCTGTAGTCCCATCAGCCCTCTGGGCACAAGTGGCTGGTTCTGGAAGCACTGAACCCAAAAAAATGCCATCCTCTGGGGGCGCACGTCTTACTTACGCCGGCTTCCACCAGCCTGCCGCCAGCCTTCCGCTGGCGGAGCCGCCACCATTTCACTTCCGCCGGCCTGCCGCCGCCTTCCGCCGAGGAAGAGATGGCAACTCCTTCGATCCTCGGAGGAAGGCCCCTTCTGGAGCGCCTCAGGTGGCTCAGGGGGTCAGCTCATCCAAAACCCCCTCCAAACCCTGTGGGGGGGGGGGGCCCTGCCCCTGCCTCCTCCCCCGTGTCTGGACGCGGGCAGACCCGGGAGGCCAAGGGCGCCGCGAAGGTCCTGCTGGCTAGTTCCTCCGTTTTCGTGACAGCGGAGAGGCGGGAATCGGCAAGGAGTTGGCCCTGCAAACCTTCGCTTCTTCAGGCCATATGTAACGTCTCTGGAGACCGTCGAGGCTATCCGAGGCCTTCTTAGGAATCTCTTGGGGCCCTCATGGAGAACGAACAGTCGCCTCTCGGGGCCGTCTTGGGGGGTCGCTATTGGAAGCATGTGAGGCCGTCTTTGAAACCTTCTCGGCCTCTCTTGAGGATCGGTTGCGTGATATTGGAGCCATCTTGAGGCCTCACCAGGTGCCGTTCAGAAGCGAGGGGGCTCAAAGTTACAGACAAACAACAGATGTCAACATGTAGGTGCTTCTTTTGGGGGGTGAAGCACTTCATAGTCACTTGGGGCCGATGTGGGAGCATATTATGGCCGATCGGAGGCTACTTGGACGCCATATTCGTGCAACTTGAGCTATACTGTGCCACCTTGGAGGCCACATTGGAGCCATCTTGAGAGCAACTGCACCCTCCAGCCCCTACGGGAGGCCCTTCAGCCGACCGATGAAGATACGAGCAGGAAGTGTTCGGGTGGTAGGGCGGCCTCCCACCGTTTGTATCTCGATGCATGTTCCTACAAGTCCTGGATCAAAACAACTCGCCTGGGATCGTTTCGGAGTGGACTGGTAGGGATACTCTGGAACTTCAACGAATTGCATGTTATGTAGCCGCACGCAAGGAGACTCCCGTCCTCGTCAAATGTTACTCCAGTTCCTGGCCAGTATAAGTACCCCACCCCCCGCCCCAGCGAAACTAACGAAACGGTCCTGGTCTTGTGGAATACACCCCTCTTCAAGAGCTCCAATGCTAGACAAAGGAACTGCTCAACGATTCAAGTTTGAAAATGAAGGGGGTACGGTGGTACATCGGGGGTAAACACGGCCGAAGCGTGTTCAGCGTGAAATTGGCGTCTCATGTAGATGTTTGTGGAGACTCTGGCCGCTTCAGATTCAAATGTCGGTGTATGTGCGATGTCGCTGCACATGCTCCGCGCAAGGTCTCGCAATCGTGCAAACGAGGGAAACACTTGCGCGAGGCCACTCTCCCCAGACAATCGGTGTCCTCGATTGGCGATATCAACTTCAGAAAAGATCTGTGCGGCGTTCATCGCAACCATCTCATGTGGCCTCAGGGGGAGAAACGAAGGGGGGTAGCCCCCCACCCCACCCCACCCCACCCCACCCCACCCTGTGCAAACACACACACACACACACACACGAGCGCGCTCGCGCCAGCCTTGACTGCAAAGTCATTTGGATTCGCATACTGCATGAACGAGGCCTCTGCTGGTCTCGGTGCAATGCGGTGGCCATCCGGGACCCTGATATTGGCTCACATCCAAAGCTTCGGATTTCCACGACGATTCGTGTTCTTGACGGCATAAATCAGCAAGGGGCGCCCTCCCAGGATCAGCCTGTGAGGTTGCCACTTTCGCTGCCCCCACCCCTCACCTCACTGCCTCCCCCTTCCGAGCCTTCTCGTAAACTCTAGGACGCCACGCACTTCACCCTCTTCGGAGGGGCAGTTGTTTCAAGCCTTGTCGGGTGCGGGCATTGCTCGAACTGACCGCCTCGGCTCGACAAGGACGACGAATGAAGAGGGAGCCCCCAGAGGATTCACTCCACCGTGGCAGACTGAAGCGGGGGGGGGCTCGACTGGGACGCCAGAAGTGGGTACAGAAGACCGACAGCAACCGATCTTGGGCAGTTGGCCTCCAGTCTCGAGAAGACAACGTTCGCGGGTCCTGTTCAAAATGGACAGGAAATGATGTCGGATTCGTCACCGAGATAAGTCTCTAGAACCCCCCCAAAGTGAAAACACGTATCCTTTCGACGCCCTCATTGACGGACGGGAGTCCCACCATACTCATTCCTCCACGGCACCCGCCGCGCAACAACGACGACGACGACGACGACGACGACGACGACGACGACGACGACGACGATACGACTACGGCTACGGCTACGGCTACGGCTACGACTATGAGTAGTTCGCCACCACAACTACGACTACGAGACTACGAGTACGAGGAGGAGGAGGAGGAGGAGGAGGAGCAGGAGGAACAGGAGGAGGAGGAGGAGGAGGAGGGGCGGAGCTTACTTCCCGCCGAGAGAAACATGGGGGGATCCCCAAAAGTAAAGACCTCCTGAGGTTACCCATTCATTCCGAACCCATTTCTCGGCGGCGAGCCCGGAGGGGAAGTGAGAAGGAGAAGGCCTTCTCAGAAGGCTCGGAAGTCCCCCACCCTTCTGAGAAATGTTCGAAGCCTTCCCCGAGGAGAGAAACCCTCTCGGAAGGCCAGAGCGTTTCTGTGAAGTCCCGCCGCCTTCTCAGAAGGCCTTCTCCTCCTCGTTCCCCCCCCCCCCCTCGCTCGCCGCCAGACTTCGATCCCACCGACTCGACGGCGGCGTCCCTGCCGCGCCGAGCTCGCAGCACCCGCTGGCAGGCCGGCCGCCGAGGCCGCGGCAGTCGCCGCTCTGGCCCTCCCCGGCCGACTCCGAGTCCGGCCCCTGGGCGTCCTCGGGGCGGTGGCCGCGCGGCGCGCGCGGCGCCAACCCGACAGAGGGCGCAGCGGGAAGGCGCCTGGGAGCGTCCGACCCGTCTCGCTCCGATCCGCTGCGGCATCGGCTGGGGCCAGCCGGCGCCGGGCGTGGCGCTCCGAGTTCGGCCCGACGCGGGACGAGTCGGTGGCTCCATCTGCCGGTCTGCCGAGGCGCAGCCTGCCCTGGGAGAGCCCCAAGCAACAAGCCGCCACCAGCCCTGGCCAGGCCCATCCCGGACCCTGGCCTGTTGCACGGGCCCTCCTGGCCTGGGCCCGGAGGTCTGCACACCTGTCCAGGGCCAGGGCCGGTGGAGGCGTATGGCTTGGAGCTCTCCTGGGGCAGGCTGCGCCTCGGCAGGCCCAGGCAGGGTGGAGCCAGCGAATCGCCCAAAGATCGAACTGCACTCGGCTCGCCGCGCCGGGCGCTGGCTGGCCCCAGCCGGTGCCGGGGCGAGTCGAACCGACGGATCAGATGGGAATCCCGGCGCCGGCCGGCGAATCGCGTCGCAGGAGAATGTGCCACTCGCGGCGGCAAAGGGCGTTGTGGAGGTTGGCGGCGCGCACAAGGGGGGTGGATGGAAGGGGGAAGGCTTCTTGGAAGGAGGCTGCTTCTTGGAAGGAGGCTGCTTCTGGGAAGGCGCCGGCCCTACATCTATAGAGATAAGGCCCGCGCCTTCTAAGAAGCTGGGGTAGCATTCGTAATATTATTGTTTCTATGAATACTCGTATCACTATTGTTATGATTCTCCAATCTAGGCTTGCCCTGTAGGAATCCTGCCTCATCATAAGCAATTGGTCTTTAGGACCGACACTTTTTCCAATGACCCCCCCCCCTATTTCCAATGTTACCCCCCTCCCCCCCTTTTCCAATGGCCCCCCCCTTGTTTCCAATGGCCCCACCCCCAGCTATTTACAATGGCGAGTCCTATGGATTCCCATGGATTCCTGTGAGTCGTATGGATTCCTATGCCTATGCCAATGCCCACATGCCAATGCCTATATGCCCAAACTTACTCCTATGGCTCTCCAATATTGCTCGCCTCTTTTTGCTTGCTATTTCATGCTTGGTTTCCTCTCCTCCCGTCATCTCCTCCTCGTCTTCTCCTTCTCTCGCTATTATCCTGTCAATCTATCTATTTTGAGGCAACGCTGGCTGATATGATCATTCCTCATCCTCCTCCTCCTCCTCCTCCTCCTTCTCCTCCTCCTCCTCCTCCTCCTCCTCCTCCTCCTCCCCAGCATCCTCATCCGCATCCTCATCATCATCCTCATCCTCCTCTGCCGCCTCTTCCTCATCCTCCATCTTTCCTATTCAAGCTGAAGAACGAGGCTGCTCGGTTAATGATTTGTGCAATATGAAACCAAAAAACTGGTCTGTCATGCTCACCGCGACCAGTGGACATCGGGAGCGAAAGCTCCCCATCCGCGCGAATTCTAATACGGATCACATGGGACACAACACCTAGCCCACTATTCGCACACTTCTGGTGGGTTCTCGATACGCGCAATCTTTGGTACAGACGACATAAGAGAAGCGGACAGCAGCTTGGACATCCTGGAAGGATATAGCTTAGCAGCTGTTGCCTTAATTTCGCTTGAAGCATGTGTTCCCACCAGCACTGCACGATGGGAACTGCACACACACACACACACACACACACACACACACACACGCACACGCACACATGCACTGCCCTTGTCCTGGCAACTCTCGGATCATATCCGTTAAGCGAGCGACGCTGCCGCCAAACAGTGCAGAAGACGAGGCGCAACAGCAACACAGGTCTAAACTCATTAAGCGCACGGCCGCTCTGCGCCTCAAGCTCATCAGGGCCTTCACTTTTGAAGCTCCCACATCGAGGGGAAGCGGAGCAAATCGGGCTCGGCGGGGTGTTCGACGATGCCGGCAGCACCGACGGCACAGCAAACGCATGCCGCTTGCACTCTTGTACGTAGCAAGCAGCTCCCTAACAAAACCTCTCCCCATTCCTGAGAAGACCTGCATGGGGCCCCCGCAACCAGCGGACAGAAAGCAGCACGCGGGGCTCCGTTCCTCTATTCAGCGGGGGATTGACCTCTGATACACGCATTATGCGGCGGCCCTCCGATCACACCCAAGGCCTGCCCACATCACATCAGACCGAGGAAGTTGCTTACAGAACTCCACCGTCAAATCACCAGCTTCTGGATCGTCGGCCACATCGATTGAGATCCTCCCCACGAGCCAGGACGCGCGTTTCTGTCAGGCCTCGAAATTCATCCGAATGCCCCCGACCCCGCCTCTGCCAGCTACACTCGACCAGGACAGCAAGGATGCGCGGTAAGGATGCAAGGGCCTTGGAGCGCCATGCTGACGTTTCCCGTGTGGAGCGCAGCAGAACCGAAGGGGCAAGGACGCCGAATGCCGATGCGGGCGCACGCGGGGCCTGCGCGGCTGCGCTCGCCGCCCATGACGGAAGCGCGCCCCGCCGCCGGCCCCCCCGGCCCACCAGGGGCAGGCCCAGCGAGACGCTCGGGAAGCAGGTCGGCCAACGATTGCGCGCCGCCTCTGGAGCGCACAGCTTCGGCCACCTGCGACGCTCAGAGGCCACAGAAAATACGAAAGCACGGAAATGCACATACTGGAAAGCGAAGGCGCCGCAAGAGACGACCTCCCGAGTGCCCACTATATCCGCGCAGCATGCAACAGGTGATAACAGATACTAGTCCTGCAAGGTCAAACTGAGGACACAGTGAAGTACGAGGACGTGACCGAGCCACATTGGCGTTGAAGACCTACGACCGCTGCCACCACAATTACGAAGTCCATCCACCACGACGGAGGGGAAATCGAAACCTGTGTGGCTATACAGATCAGTGCAAAATTAGGGACAACCATCCCCCGCAACATGGAAATGCGACTGCCCCATAAAATAAAAAGAAGTGAACAGTTGTAACAATTGTGGAGCCAAGCACGTCGGCCGAGAGGTGAAGTCTGGTATGCAGGATCTTCTGTCCTAGTCGCCATCGTGCTGTTAAGATACACACGGTTGACGCTAGCAATGCCATTACGATTGGGATGAGGCGACGCGGCGGCTTCGAGCAAAGGTTGCTGCATCACTGCTGGTAAGCAAAACTGCGTGTAATGAGTGAGAACCTTATAAGGGAAAGGTGGCTTGAGCTTGAGCAAATCTTGAGCTGATATGGTTACGGAGGGCCCTTGTGGGGCGTCTTGGGGGCTGTTGGGGCCGTCTCGACACTGTCCTGGGCCGTCTCGAGGCTCTCTTGGAACATGTTGGTGGGCACTGGAGCAGTTTCGGAACCCACTGGAGATTAAGAAACCGTCCGAAGGAGTCTCTGGAGATCCCGGAGCGGAGGGAGCCATCAAAATACTCTGGGGGTCCCAGGGTTGGGCAAGGCCCCCGGCTCCCCAGGGACCCCCGTTTCTGGTATGTGGGAGGATCGGGCAGCGAAACCCAGGTCGACACTTGAAATAATGGGATCATTGTACATTACTCCCGCGATGCTGGCAGACGATGGCAACCATTCAGGATCAATACAGATCAAAACGGGATCGAAGGAGCATCGAGAGGATGAGGACGAGAATCGAAAAGATGCAAGAGGTTGATACAAGGATAAAAGACAGCGGCTATGCAGAGTGGAGAAGCGAAGACGTCGTGATGATAACGAAATAGGTCACGGAGCAGAAAGAGAAAAGTGAGATACAAAAGAAGACCGAGGTGAGCGTGATCAGGGGTAGGAAGAGCATGACAATCACAGAGGATGGACCACGAGCTGGCAGAGACAGTGATTCCAGGACGAAGGATGCGTCCATCCACCTGCCCACAGGGGCTCCTCCCCTACACCTGCGTATATAGCTTTGCTCTACTGACTACTCCTCCTCAGATATCCCTCCTCATTCTCCTCCCCGAAGGCATTCCTTCAGCTGCTTGCACAGCATCGCTAGCTGCGACGGCGTGGGATTCTTGTACAGCGCGGTGCCTCAGGGGATCGCGCAAGGGACATGCAAGGACACCCGTAACCAAAGGCTCACGCGTGAAAAGCAACAAGCATAAACACGTACAAATGTTCATGGTTGCAAGCACACGTGTTCAAGCGTATACGTACATCAGTGTATACATACACATACACACATGCATACATACAAACATGTATGTGTACACATAGATGTATGTATCACAGCGAGTATGTGCCCATACATACATGTATAGGTCGAGGACGCGAGAACCCGAATAACATTCAAAAGACCGATGCAAATCAATGATTGGGGCATCTTCGGGCTCTCTCGGGATGCTTCGCGGAGCTCTATTGAGGCCTCCTGGAGGCCTCTTGGGCCGTGTATTTCCGGTCTCGAACCCATCTTGGGCCACGTTGGGGCTATCTGGGCTGCCTTGGAGGGGCTTGTCGAAGTCCCCGAGGGCTTCTGGGAGCTCTCTGGCTCTCTGGGGCAGTCTGGGAGCTCCAGGGCCGCTCTGGGGTGCTCTGGGAGCGGCCTGGGAAACCCCAGTCCTCCCATGCCCACCCGTGCCCCGGGCCCCGGGTGCCTGGGCCTCGTGCACGGGGATATATGCATGTATGTGTACATATACATAAACATAAACATGTATACATGCACACATACACACATACATACATACATACATGCATGCATGCATGCATACATACATACATACATGCATACATGCATGGATGCATGCATGCATGCATACATACATACATACATGCAAACATACATGTGTGTGTATGTGGCTGCGTGTGTTTAAGTCTGTATGTGTGTAAGCTTGTATGTATGTATGCATGCATGTATGTATGCATGCATGTGTGTATGTTTGTATGTAGGTATGTATGTATGTATGTATGTATGAATGAATGAATGAATGAATGAATGTATCATGTGTGTATGGATGCATGTATGTATGTATGTGTGTATATAGGTGTGTATGGATGTGTATATATGCATGCATGTATGTATGTGCGTGTGATTGTATGTATGTGTGTATGTATGTATGTATGTATGGATGGATGGATGGATGGATGTATGTATGTGTGTATGTATATATATATGTATGTACGTACGTACGTATGGATGTATGCATGTATGTATGTATGTATGTGTGTATGCATGCATGCATGCATGCATGCATGCATGAATACATGCATGCATGCATGTACGCACGTACGTACGTAGGTATGTATGTATGCATGCATGCATGCATGCATGTATGTATGTATGTGTGTATGTATGTGTGGATTGATTTATGTATATATGTATGCATGCATGCATACATGCATGCATGCATGTATGTATGTATGCATGCATGTATGCATGCATGTATGCATGCATGCATGTATGTGTGTATGTATCAATCGTACCTTATGTATGTATGTATGTATGTATGTATGTATGTATGTATGTATGTATGTATGTATGTATGTATATACACACGTATATACATATCTATATATGTGTATACATACATAGTTAAGGCATCGCGCGCGCTTCGCGCGCGCTCAAGTTCTAGCCCAGGCCGGGGGGCGTGCTAGAAGATCTTGGACAGCGCACTCAAGCACAGGTCGTGACATAGTCGTGCCTCCTGAGGACCTCTTGGGAACCTCTTGGGTCTTCGTGGGGGCATCTGAAGGGCTTCCGGTTGGTTCTCCGTGCTTCCTCCATTGGCTGTTGGAGGCACCTCTTGGGTGCTTCTCGGGGGGGCATCTTGGAGCTTCTTGGGGTCCCTTGGGGACATCGTCAGGGTTCTCCGGGCAGTCGGAAAGTTATGTTCTGCAGTCTGAAGCAATCAATTGGCCGTCTTGGCTGCGTGGAGTCCCGGCTTGAGGCCACATTGGAGCACTCCGGAAGCCTCCCGGGGCCTCCTTGAAGCAATTTTGATGCATCGGGAGCACTGTTCGGCTATCTGGGGGCCTAGTGTACGTCTCCTGTGAGCCGCTGGGGGCCTGGTGGGGGGCTTTGGGGGGCCTCGTCGGACCACTTGGGGACTCTTGGGGCCTCCTGTGGGCCTCTTAGGGCGCAAAGCTCTGCTGTTGGGTTCGCGCTCCCCTTCTTGGGGCTCTCTTGGGGCTTTCTCGGGCCGTCTTGGGCGCCTCGGGCACCGTCTTGGGGCCCTCGTGGGCCGTCATAGGGGCCCTCTTGGAGGCCTCTTCGGCTATCAGGCCTCTGGGGATGCCTTGGAGCGGAAATTAAAGCCTCTTGGGCCGTCGTGGAGCGTCAGGAAACTCAAAAGGCGAGAACTCGGAAATCCATCAAAAACCAAAGGAAAACAGATTAGTTGTGCCTCCTCTGGCTCCTTGGGAGCCATCTTGGAGACCTCTTGGGGCGTCTTGGAGGCCTCTTGGACAGTCAGGGACCAATTCTGGGGTGATCTCGGGCGGTCATTGGTCGTTTTCGTTGTCTGGAAACGCCAGGGCCGTCTTCGGGCGACTTTACAAGGCCTCCAGCGCCACGGCAGGGCCCCCGGGCCCCCCGGTGCGAGGGCCCCGTCCCGGGCCCCGCCTCGTGCCCGATGCAGGGCGTCCCTGGGCCGTCTCGGCGCCCTCGTGGGGGCCTGTTGGGGCGACACTGGGTGTCTGAAATCCATCAAAAACCTAAAGACAATCAATGATTTTGGCGTCCCTTTGGGCCGTGTTGGAAGCCTTGTGGGCCGTCCGGAGGCCATCGTGTGCGTGTTCGAACGATATGTCCTCGTTTCGGGGCCTTTGGGGGGCCTCTTGCGGCCCCTTTCGTCTGTGTTGGGGCTGTCTTGGGCCGTCTGGGGGCGGCCCTGGGCTGTCTCGGCGCCCTCTTGAAAGCCTGTTTGAAGATTTCTGGGTGTCCTGGACCGTCCTCCTTCAACGTCTGCGGCACTGGCCGTAAGACTTCCTGGGAACATGATTTGTTGGGGTGTCGTTGGGCGCCTCCCGAGGCTTCGGGGCCTGACGCTTTTCCGAGCGTGGCGGCAGGTAGCGCTGCTTGGGACTCTCGTTGTTGTTTTATCCTGGCAGGCGTTTACAAACATGGTTTGGAAAGAGAGCGGCAACCCGAGAATCATGTTCCCGGGAAGCTTTTTCCGGGAGCATGATTTGTTCGGCTCTCTTAAGAGAGTGGGCTCTGGGGGCTCACCTCGGGGTGACCCTTAAGGGGGTCCAGCTGAAAAGGGGTGGTGCAATAGATTTGGGGCAATTGTATTGCAAATGTATTGCGCCGGAGAGTTGTATTGTATTGTATTGCAAGTAATGTACTGCACGCGAAAATCCAGCAATACATCTGCGCCCCGAAATGTATTGCACGCCCCACATGTACTGCAACCCCACAAAGCTATTGCACCGAATTTATTGCACCACCCCCCTGTCGCTGGACCCCCTTTGGGGTCAACCCGATTACCGAGGGGCCCTTTTTGGCCTTGTCCGCAAGGTTTGTGGAAACATGGTTGGGACGGTGGGCGGAAGACCAAGGAATTATGTTCCCGGGAAGCTCTGGAAAATACGATTTACCGAGGTCTCTTGGGAGCCCGCAGGGGGCTTCCCTGGGAGGGCCCTTGGGGGCTTATTGGGGCTTCCGGGAGGCCTCTTGGGAGCCTCACGGGGCTTCTTGGGAGCCTCTTGATGGCCTCCGGGGGCGTCCTAGGAGCCTCTCAGGCCGGAGACCTTGACATGTCGCGCTCTTCGGGCCCTCTTGGGTCGCTCTTGGGGCTCTCTTGAGGCGCTCTCGAGGCCCTCTTGAATTATCTGGGGAGCCTCATGGGCCGTTTCTGGTCTTTCCTTGGGAGCCTCTTCGGCCGTCTTGGAGCGATCTGAAGGGCCTCTGCCGCCGTCCGGGACCGTGGGGAGGCGGAACATGCGAGAGCGCAAAAATGCGGGGCCCTTTGGAGCGGCCTCTGGAGGCGCTCTTGGGGCAAATTGGCGGCGTCGTCGGCCGTCCTGAGGCCATCTTCGGCGTGTCCGGGGCCTCTTGGGGCTGTCTTGGCAATCTTTAGGGCCCTCTTGGCGTGTCGTGGCGTGTTTGGGAACGGGCCCGGGCAGTCCTGGGAGCCCTGGGGGCTGTTGAATGCTAGGTGTTGTCTTGGAGGCGGAGGCTGTTGAGTGCAGGGTGGCGCGTGCTACACGGAAGGCGGGCGAGCGGCCGGGCGGGCGGCGGGCGGGCGGGTGGCGGGCGGGCGGGCGGGTCGGGATTTGAATGAATTCCTGAAGGGGTCTCTCTTGCAGCGGGAGCTTGTTGAGTACAGGGTGTTGCCTTGGAGACGGGGGCTGTTGACTACAGGGTGTTGTCTTGGAGACTGAAGCTGTTGAGTACAGAGTGGTGCGTGCTACGCGGACGGCGGGCGGGCGACGGGTGCCCTAGGTGGTGGGTCAGAGGCCTCATGGGTGTTGATTTGGATCTCGTGGTGGGCCTGTCGGGGACGTCGTGAAGGCAGTTTCGCAGCTTCTCGATAGCCATTTTGAGACCGTTGTGGGACCTCCTCGGGGCTGTTTTGTGGCCTCTTGAGGCCTTGTTTGGGTCGCCTGGGTGCCTCTCGGGGGCCTCCTGGGGCCTCTGGGGGGCTCCTTGGGGCCTCCTGGGGCACTCTTGAAGCGGGAGGGTCAAATTTTGGAGTCGTGGTCCCCCTCTTGGGCGCATCTTGGGGCCGTCTTGGGACTCTCTTGGGCGCCTCTGGGGCCGTCGGGGGGCCCTCTTGGGCCGTCTTGGGGCGCTCTTGGGAGCCTATGGAGCGAGCCTGGAACGTCGGACAGCCGAAAAGGCTGGAAGGCCAAAATCTCTCCCAAACCTTCGTAAAATTTACAATTTGGGTCTCTTGAAGCGCTCGGGAGAGACGACTTGAAGCGTCATGGAGTGCCTTGGGGGCTTCTCGGGCCGTCTTGGGCCTACCTTGGGCGTCCAGGAGAGGTCTTTCGGCGACTCGGGGCCCGCTTGGGCCGTCTGGGGAGCCTCTGGAGGCCCTCCTGGACTATTTTGGACCTCCCCGGCCGCCCCGTCCTCCCATGAGGGGTCGGGGCAGCTGTTTGTGGGCCCCGGGCCTGCCCCCCAGGGATATATATATATATATAGACATACATAAATACATTCATACATACATACATACATATATACATACATACATACATACATACATACATACATACATACATACATACATACATACATACATACATACATACATACATACATATATATACATACATACATAAATACATACATACATACATACATACATACATACATACATATATACATACATGCATGCATGCATGCATGCATGCATGCATGCATGCATGCATACATACATACATACATACATACATACAGACATGCATGCATACACATGCATGTATATATATATATATATATATATATACATATATACGTACGGATACGTGTGAAAGTGTATGTATGCCTGTCCGTCTGTCAGTCTGTCTGCCTGCCTGTGTATCTGTCTGTCTGTCTGTCTGTGTATGTATGTGTACGTATGTATGTACGCATGCATGCA